CTTTCTCTCCTCTCCCCTTTCTCTCCTCTCCTCTCCCCTTTCTCTCCTCTCCCCTTTCTCTCCTCTCCTCTCCCGTTTCTCTCCTCTCCCCTTTCTCTCCTCTCCTCTCCTGCCCTGCCCTGCTCTGCCTTCCTCTCCTTCTCTCCTCTTTCTCTTCCCTTCTCCCTCTCTTCTTTCTATCTCTTTTCCCCTCCTCTCTCTCCTTCTATACCCTTTCCGTCTCCCCCCTCCTTTCCATTCCATACATTCTGTTCTGTTCTATTCCCATTCCAATTCCATTGATCACTTTTCCACTTGTCAAAAGCATCCTCCCATTTGGAACTGAAACACCCGACTGCAAGATTGAAATCCATTCAGATTTTCTCTTACTGGGTTTTTCAGGTCTGTAACAACAACAAAAATTGCCACTGCGACCCAGGCTGGGCTCCTCCAGACTGCAGTATAAAAGGAAGTCCTATGGGAGGGAGTATTGACAGCGGGCTTCGCTATCTGGATTTAGGTCAGTCAGTTGTATCTTACTGGGACATTGTCCAGTCAAACCAATCAATTCAGCCATTTGATTGATCTGAGATCTTCTCTCTCTCTCTCACATTCTCTCTCTCACATTCCCATGTTCCATTCTTTCTGTAGGCATCCCCCCCCACTAGCCATGATGAGAGGACATGGATGACAAACACCTGATGATGTCATAATGCAAAACCTATCCCCTTGTACTTGACTCATGGCATTGGACACCTTACCTAAATTATGGGTTTGTAGTCTGACCTCAGAATGCCCCGTTCTACACTTGCCCCTGACAGACACCTGTAATGATTTCTCCAGACACTCTGCCTACCTCTGTTGTTGTTGTTGTTAGTTGCGAAGTCGTGTCCGACCCATGGACAACGTTCCTCCAGGCCTTCCTGTCCTCTACCATCTTCTGGAATCCATTTAAGCTCAGGCCTACTGCTTCAGGGACTCCATCCAGCCACCTCGTTCTCTGTCGTCCCCTTCTTCTCTTGCCCTCCATCTTTCCCAGCATCAGGCTCTTCTCCAGTGAGTCC